GAAGTTTTTTTCTGTAAACATATTTGGTTGTATTAACATAGCTGCCGGATATATGTTTCTATGTGTTCTGTAACATTTGAGGCTGTGTGCATGTTCATAATTGCTGAGATGCAACCTCAGTCTGGTTTCTGACAGATATTGTGATAAGATCATGGTTGGTTAAATTTCAGGATTATATTGCTCACTTAGCTGGTTGCAGGTCTGGCATGACACTGGCTTCACTCCCTGTCAGTGTTCCCCACTGACTTGGGCTTGCCATGGGCCTCCCACGGTCCAAAGCTCCTTTACTAGTGGTGTAAATATACCAACACTCCCCCGTTGCTCTGCGCTCACAGTCTGGGCAGCTTTAAATATGATATTATGATTATTTTGGCAGATTCTCCAGGTGTGATATGATTCACGATTATTGGCAATGATCATTTTTGCATCACAAATGTAATTTTCACTAAAAAACTGTTAAAATCATGATGATGTGACCAAACAAACATGTTTTCTTGCATCTGAAGAACATGATTTGTAGCTGGCACAACACAACTTCATTATAATCTTTGAAAGAAACAATGCAGCTTCTGTGATTTGCATAATGCACATGGGCATAATTCCTTTTCGATTACTTGCGCTTACCCTTTTTTAGAAATCATTGAAATCAAAAATTTTAGGCCACAACAATCCCAAAAAGAGCCTGTGAAAGCCTGGAGGGACTGGGTTTTATTGGCAAGGACGCAGCAGAGACAGACTTGTGTTCAGGGTCTTAAGCCCAGTTCATGGTTGTCATGTCTGCAGGGTCACATGGGTCTGTGTGACGTTCCTTTACTCAGTTTTCTGTCCATGAAGCCTTAACAGGCAGTTTAACATGTTTATACGGCTCTCAGACCTGCTGATCTGATATATGCTCCAACGTCAAACTGACACTTATTAGAAACAAAGATTTGTGCTTCATAAAGTGTCTTTATGATTATCAAATCATTCATGCTCCATCAAAAACCACATTTGTATTCTGAGTCGACACAGGAAGCTGTGAAGTCTTCCAGTGTCGGGACATGATGGCTGCCAGCAGCTCACTGCGAGCCCAATTTTAACATTTCATCAGTTTCAAATTAGATGATTAGATCTTCTGATGATTAATAGTTTGTTTGTTTGAGGATTTTCTTTTAGCTTTTGTTGCTAAAACTGGTGTAAATGATTAGAGAGTTTAAATAAAAACCAGTATTGCAGAACCAATCTAAAGTCTTTATGACGGTCACATGTGGAAGGCGTGTTCTTGTAAACACTGATGAACCAGATAATGCTTGGCTCATTTTCAGTTTTTTAAAGTCCCGATCAAGTTACAAGATACTTGTATTTTCCCAGATAATACAATACACAGTGCGCAATTAAAGTACATTAAAGTTATGAAAAAAATAATAAAAAAGTCTAAATTGAAGCTGTTCCTTTATGGTTTTTTTTATAAAATAACAAACCCTCTGTAATCTGTGGATCTTGTCGCTGTCTGAAGGGAGTTTCTTTGTCCTGTGTTTGGTGCTTCAGTGCTGCCTTTACCTGAGTTACTGAATGAACCGTTTCTATTCTGCTGATGGCTCTCTACCGCTGTCACAAGGTTAAACTCTGCAGTGGGCGGGGCTTCCTCTGCTCTCACTCATGGAGCTGAGTGAAGGACAGAGACAGCAGAGAGAGTTGATAGCTGCACTGTGTATTAAAGCTTTACAAGTAAAAACAGTCCTATGACAGTCTATGACGTAAAAAAAAGATCAGATCAATAAAGCTCATTATAGCCGACACTGATCAGTTAAAGAATGACGTCATTAAGCTCTCTCTGGGTTACAAAGTGAATCTCTCCAGTTTGAGGAGTAGAATGGGGAGAGCACTGTTTCAGGTAAGGCGTGGCCTTGTATGAATTTGTATGAAAGGAAAAACTGTAGCTCCTGGGTTTTATCTAGTCAACAAATTAAGAGGAGAGGAATATTAAAGCAGGTTTTACAAACCTATAGCAAAGCATAGCAAAGTCTGACATTTCATGCTTATTACTGACAGAAAAATAACATCTTTTCTCCTGTAGGACAGGAGGAGATGTGAGATCTCTGTTGTGTGGGAGTGAATGGATTAAGAAAGCAGTCCCGTACAGTTAGGTCTAGTCTAGGCGCTTTCTAGTAGGCATTGAGATCTGCAATCGTCTGGTAGTCAGAGTATGGCTTGTTTGCACATGACAACCTGTCAGGAACAGGAAGTGATTTTCTAGATTAGATGGACTCTCAAAAGTTACATATTTTCAGTTTTTTCCCCTGATGTTGTTCTCTATTCTCAGAGATTTACAGAGTTTAATTTAGTTGAGATTGGTTTAATACATTGAGTACAGGGACTATAGAGAGGTGCAGTTACTATAGTGAGGTGTGTTTATAGTGAGTTATATAGCAGGGTGTGTTTAATACAGTGAGTTGTGTTAACAGACTCTGAGTGTTGATATGTGTGTCGATGTGAGGGACCTGTGAGTGGAGGTAGAGGTAAACTCCCATCATGTGATCTCCTGCTGATCACAACCACTTACACACTCAGTTAATTGGAGAGGAGGCTGCAGCGCTAATATATTCAAACACACTCGCAGACACCTAGTGTGTGTGTGTGTGAGGGGCTTAAGTGTGAACAAGTAGAGAGGTGATGGGCGTTAATGATATTGATGCTAATTCCTTCACTCTGTGTGTGTGTGTGTGTGTGTGTGTTGTAGTGTTTGAGTATCAAAGTCTTGTAGTTATTAATATTTCATATTTGCAGTGATCAGTATTCAGTTTGTGGAGGTTTCATACAAATGAACTTGCTGCTGCTGCTTCTGCAGAACACTGCAGAAGAATACAGTAAAATAACAGTAGAATACAGTAAAATAACAGTATAATGAATCAACTCCATATAGAACATAGCTCTAGAGTTTATACACTGTTTATTGATTATAGATTATAGATTGATTATAGATCGGTTCAGTGCTCTTGTCAAGGTTCTGGTTTGTAGCCTTTTAGGTGAAAAGGAGGCAGAACATAGAACCTACCTGGTTCTTACAGGTTATGAGAACCTGCAGTAAGTTCCCGTATTGATCCATCAGATGGTGTGTCGGTCCTTAAGCCTCCTCACTCAGAACAAAAGGATCGACTTGCTGCTCAGTCAGCGATGTGGGATATAAAACGTGTGTAAACTCCAATGAGTTTGAGATATTTTTAGACTCCTGCGGGGAGGACCGAGCCTCTGCTGTTAATCTGCTCTGTGATCTGCTGTTATTCTCTTATTATTCTGATCTTCTGGATTCAACTGAGGAAAATCTCTAATTCTTCTTATTCTGATCCCATCCTCCTATCAAACACACTGCGCTCTGTGTTTACATCTGTCAATACAAACTGGTTCTAATCCAGATTATAGACGGACAGGAATAGCAGCTCCACAGCCTCGACAACAATAAACACTAACTGATGACTGGATTATAGAGAGAGACAGGGAGAGAGAGAGAGACAGAGAGAGAGAGACAGAGAGAGAGAGAGACAGAGAGAGGGAGAGACAGAGAGAGAGACAGACAGACAGATAGAGAGAGAGACAGACTGTGGTCGGCTCTGGCCCTCACGGTCCCGGTAGTTCAGACTCTGCCGGTGGAGCTGAGGCTGACAGAAGTTTAGTCTTCATAAAATGGATCTCGGGGCGTCCGGTTAGCTCAGTCTGTAGCTGGCGACCCATGTATGGAGTTGCTGCAGCGGCCCAGGTTTCCCCTCTCTCTCTGCCCCCCTTTCCTGTCAATCTTCGGCTGTTTCTATCAATAAAGGCGTAAAGGCCAAAAAAATAATAACTTTAAAATGGATCTCGTACAGGAAGAGCTGCTAACTTCCTGTTAGCCCTTTGCTAACTTTAGTGGGTAAAGTGACTGACTGCTCTCTTTAAAGACGTTATTGGACTGAATGGATCAAACTCTGACAGTGAAATCAATCATTTCATTCTACTTTCTCAGTGCATTATGGGAAAAAGTCTGTTTGGGTTGCAGCTCGCCGTCATTACACAGTTCACTTCCTGGAGGCTCGGTTCAAACTTCTTCTTTTTCTTCACCTCAGCGTCGTCCTCTTTCTCTGCCGCCAGACAATGAACCCCCTCCGCCTACTGCCACGCCCCTCCGTCTCCATGGTAACCATGTTAATAACACAGGGTGGGATGTTTGTGTTTAAACTGCTTATTTTGTCCCTGCGGCAATGAGCTGCGTCACCGCGGCAACAAATTGACTTCCTGTGGGGAAAACGACGACGACGATGATGATGATGATGATGATGATGATGATGATGATGATGATCAAGTTGTGTGACTCACACACACACAAAGAAGTGACGGTTTTTATATGACAACTGTGTGTGTGTGGGTGTGTATGAGTGTGTGAGTGTGTGTGTGTGTGTGTGTGTGTGTGTGTTTGCCTTGATGATATCAAACGTCCTTGTCTCTCTGAGCACCAACAAATATTCATGAGCTCACCAGGGAAGTGTGTGAGTGTGTGTTTATGTGTGTG